ACTTCATAAAACTAAAAAGGTTCTGCTCAACAAAAGAAGTGGTCTCTAAATTGAAGAGGCACCCAGAGAATGGGGAAAAATTTTTTGCTAGCTCACATGAGACAAGGACTGGATAACCAGGAAATATAGAGGAGCTCAAAAAACTAACTCTTCAAAAAATCAATTGACCCAATGAAGAAAATGGGCAAGTGAACTAAGCAGAACTTTTTTCAAAGGAAGAAGTCCAAGGCAAAAAAAAAAAAAAACCCCAACAAAAAAAACCCAAAAAAAAGACCCATGAAAAAAAATGCTCACCATCCCTGGCCATAAAGGAAATGCAATCAAAACCACAGTAAATTCTACCTCATTCCTGGTTAGAATAGCCATCATCAAAACACCACCATCAACAAAAGTTTGGCAAAATATAGAGAAAAAGGAACCCTCATACACTGCTGGTTGGAATGTATAAGCTAGTACAACCATTCTGGAAAACAAATATGGAGGGCACCTTAAAAACTAAAAATATACCTGCCATATGATCCACGCAATGCCCACTCCTAGGGACATACCTGAAGGGAATGTGAGTCAGGTTACTACAAAGGCACCTGCACACCATGTTTACTGCAGCCTATTCACAATAGCTAAGCTATGGAATAGCCAAGAGCCCCACTACTGATGGATGGATTAAGAAAATGTGGTACAATGGAATTTTACTAAGCCACAAAGAAGAATGAAATTTTGTCATTTGCAGGTAAATGGATGGAACTGGAGATCATCATCTTAAGTGAAGTTAGCCACACTCAGAAGGCCAAAAGCCACATGCTCTCCCTCATATGGATTATAGACCTAATACAAATGCAGCAATATTATTGGACACAGGTCACACTAAAGGGAGACCGAGCATGGGATGGATAGGGCAAGGGAAGGAAACCAAACCCCTTTTTTTCTTTATTCATATATTCCTATGTGCATACACTATTTGGGTCATTTCTCCCCCCTGACCCCCACCCTCTCCCTCTCCCCCTCACACCCCTCGCTTCCAGGCAGAACCTGTTCTGCCCTTTTCTCCAATTTTGTTGAAGAGAAGACATAAGCAATAATAAGAAAGACAAAGTGTAGAGATGAACCAATGTGGGTTGTAACACACAAGTGCATGGAAATAACACAGGGAATCTTCCTGTGTAGCTGTCTTTATCTCAAACTGGCAAAAATGCCATATTTCTCTTATTATCTTTTATGTTTTTTCTTCTACAAAATCAGAGAACAAGAGGGCAGTACAGGTTCTACTTGGAGGTGGGGTATGGGGGTTGGGGAGGTGAGGGTGAATGTTTGGCACTGCTGTGAGGGGAAGGTGGCAGGGAAAGGGGTTAGGAGGGATAATTGGTACACAAATGTTACACCTATAAGTAATGCAAAAATGATAACCTGTGAAACTGTTCCAGGAACAGTTGGGGGGATGAAAGAGAGCAGTGGAAGGGGTGAATTTATAGTATGATATATTTGATACATTGTAAGAACCTTGGTAAATACTGCAATGTACCCCCACCCAGCACACACACAAAAAAGAAACAGTGTAGAATGACAATTAGCAGAGGATAACTTTCAGCTATGAAAAGAAATCTGGAAGATGGAGCTTAGATGCCTAGTGTTAAGAGTTGGATATTTTGTGCTTATTTTTTGTTTAGGGTCTTGCTATATACCCTAGTCTAGACACTCCAACTCACAATCCTCCTGCTTCTACCTCCTCAGTGCTGGGATTATAGACATGTGCCAACAAACCTGGCTTTGCCTGGCACAGGCAGTGTTGAGGATCAAACTCAGGACCCTTGTACATGCTGGGAAAGTGCTCTACCACTGAGTTATATCTTTAGACCCTTTAGATGTTTTGATGCTTAAATTTTATAGGAAGAACATGTCGGATTAGAGCATATCAGATTACTCTAGGTTTGGACTGTTTTCCAAAACTTTTATGCTTGTTATAATTCTAGTTCAGAAGAAACCACTTCCAGCTAAGGTTATCAGGGAACCATTTATGCAAGAGCTGGGTCTTGAGGAATGAGATAGGGAGATACCACAATATGAACAACTTGTACCTGGTACGCTTGAGGGGAACCATAGACTTGTTTGGTTGGAATAAAGATTTTATAGGTTTTTTTCCTAATTGATTATTGTCATAGTAGTTGCTTGTTATATACACCAATTAGCAAACTTCTGAATTAGAAACTTTGATTCTCAAGACATCTGAATGAGGGTGTAGGAATCACTGTTTTTAACAATATTTCGGGTGATTGCTAAATTCAGGGAAATTTAAATACAGAATTACACAGGAATCATGAGATCAAACTGGAATGGGAAGAAGGTGCCAGATTATGTGGAGCTTTAAATGTCATGTGAAGGAGCTCAGAATGTTGTTGCTGAATATAAGCCATATTTACGATTTCTAAGTTCCTCCATTCCAGATCTCCCTCTAGCCTCTATACTGAAAATGCACCAAGTATTATGAATGTGGACCATGTAAGTTAATAGCTGCTATCTTTTTTATGTTGGAGGAAATGTCAGCTCTACCTGGACTCTGCAAAAATATGTAGTTGCAGGAATGAGACCTTTAACTTCATAGCGCAGACAAGGGCCGGTATAAATCAAATGCATTGATTCTTCAATTTGTCCCCATTCTAGTCTGTAATCAGTGATTTCAGCACCATTGCACTCAGGAATCTGAAAGATGCAATAAACATAGGAATTCAATTCTTTCTCTAAGTCGTCACTATATTAGATGTTGTGGATCCTGTCATTATCAAATCTTACAATTGATCAAATGATATGTGATAGAGGCATGTGTAGAAACAATTAAATACAGGCAGGACACTATAATTAGCATTAAAAGTCTCAAATAAAATTAAGAAAATGATTTGCTAACTGAGGCCAATAGGAAAAGGGGAACAGGTACTAGAGAAAAGGTTAGATCAAAAAGAATTAACCTAGAAGGTAACACCCACGCACAGGAAATCAATGTGAGTCAATGCCCTGTATAGCTATCCTTATCTCAACCAGCAAAAACCCTTGTTCCTTCCTATTATTGCTTATACTCTCTCTACAACAAAATTAGAAATAAGGGCAAAAAATAGTTTCTGCTGGGTATTGATGGGGGAGAGGGAGGGGGCGGAGTTGGGGTAAGGGAGGGGGTGGTGGCAGGGGGAGAAATGAAACCAAGCCTTGTATGCACATATGAATAATAAAAGAAAAATGAAAAAAAAAAGAAAATGATTTGCTAATCCCACATATTAGATGAATTTTTAAAAAAATTATTAAAATTATTTTCAGGGCTGAGGCATGACTCAGAGACGGTAGACTACATGCCTAGCAAGTGCAGGCCCTGAGTTCAAACTCCAGTACCCACAAAATATTTCAAATAGGTTACTCAAAGAGTAAATAGATATATTCATATTGTTCAATGTTACTATTGGTTAGCATGATCAAATACACATGTTATTACTCTCTTCTTTATAAAGTTGAAGTGATTAGCTCTGTCATTCTATTATTAACGACTAAGGCTTTTGTGTCAATGTGAAAAACGCTTTTGCTGAGTCTGGGAAAGGGAAGAAAAATTTAATATATAACCTATATGGCTAAATAAATGGGCCAATTCGCATTTTTTTTGAGCTGGATTGTTTTTTGAATGGAAAAAATATTCACATAGATGTCAAACTGTTTTTAAAAGTTTCCAATATCTTATACATTCCTTATGGGTCTTATTGCAGTTACATGCAAAGAAACATCAGAGATTTCTCAAATGAAGTTCTTTAAAGAAGTGTAAGTTCTGGGCTAGGAATGTAGCTCAGTGGTAGAGCACTTACCTAGCATGTGCTAAGCTCTGTAGATTGATTTAACTTTATTAACTCTTGTGTTGATTTAAAAAAATTAGATGGTTATCCATTGGTGGTCTATTTGGGTTTTCCAGTTATTATTCTCCTCATATAGGATTTGAGAAGTATTATTATTGCTGCAAACTTCATAATACCATTGTATCAGATCCTAGTGTGTTCTAGAAACTGTGGTCCAAGATTTGGAACCCTAATTGTAATTTCTGACTCCTTGCAGATTTCTAGGCTTTCCCCAAACGTTCTAAACCATTAATTTGCTTTTGTATCAGCAAAATTAATAAAAATAAATTAATAACATACTCTCCAACTAACAACCACACAGGTTGGACCCTTGCAGGTTAGCACAGGTGTACCACATTGAGAAGGAGGGTGTCGAACTGGTACAGTTTCACATTTCATTGAATGAGATCCAAGCTACAAATACACAAACAAAAAAATAAATCAGCAAACATACACATAATTTTGCAGGTGTGGTTACTCTCCACCCCAATAAGAAGTACAGTAGAAGTGAAGCATATTTTCATCCAAAATTAAATTTAGTACAAATGGGCCAACTGAACAGTATCACTTTCCAGGCCTAGTTTTGCTTTTAAGTAGTAACTATTGGACCTCTTCAAGGAAGAATTTAACTTCACCGTGCATTCTCTTCAAAGGCAGGTGCCCTTTTCTGTTATCTTGGCTACCTTTTGCCTTTTCGATAAGCATAAGTGCTTCAGAGTTTCCATTAGCAGGAGGATTACCTGTAAAATATACAAAATCAACTTATTTTCACAGTATTTCTAGGTGCTAGGGATCAAACCCAGGACTTTGTGGATCCTAAGCCTACACACTTCCACTAAGCTACACTCCACCCCCCTACAAATAGTTTGAAGGGTATTTCATAAAAATAAATACAAAATGAATTATGATAAATCTATTTTAAATGCTTAAGTAGGGTTGGGGCATGGTTCAAGTGGTAGATTGCCTCCTAAAGAGCATTAATCCCTGAGTTCAAACGCCCACCGTACTGCCTCCCTCCCCAAAACACAGAAAAAAACAAAAAAACTCTGAAAATGCTTAAAGTAGCAGAAGACTCAAAACATATATTGTGAAGTAACTTCTTAATTTGATTTAGACATTAAAAAATTTTAGGTTTTCAATTCTAAGAATTGATTTGCTAAGAAGGCAATGTTTGCTTTTATATGAAACAAAACCATTTCTCTGCTTTAAATAATATTGAATATATAAAAAATTACAAAGATTACAGAATAGTTAATTGAGGTACAGTCATCAATCACATTAAGGGTAGCCTCACCGCATTGGAGATTGGTTTCTTTGAACTTTGTTTTATATTTAAGGGTAGACGACGGCAAGATGCAGAAGCAAGAGTAGGTGTTTGAATAGTCATATATCTGAAGGCTAAGAGAAATACAAATACATTGTGACCTATACTAAATTCAAGATCAATTTTTGTAAAAAACTTTAGTAATATAATACATTCAGTTCAATCCTCAACTTAAAACTTTTTCCTTTCCATTTCTCTTTCCTCACCGGGCTTTGGCCTATAGGTAAGTGCAAAAGACTCTCAGTTATATATGTAGTACCAGCGTTGCAGGTGATCATATAAAAATTCCCTTATGGTGCCAGTATAGATTATGTTCCAAAGATTCACTGAAGGAATAAGAACAAATTTATTCAATTTATTTATAAGTCATATAAATTTTATGGGTTCTTATGATGTATATACATATATAGTTATATAATAATCATTCTAGAATAACCATTTTAGAAACTTACTTGATCCGTTCTCTATATAGTTAAACAATTATACTCCAATGAAATTAACAATAAAATCATAGACATTAGCTTAAATAATGATTTGTTACCAAAAAACTGGAGAAATCCATGTAAGTTCTGGGGTTTAGTCAATAAGAGTATGCTAATACCAATTTCCTGAAGATATTAATACTAGGAGAAGCTAAAAGTTTTACATGGGAATTCTCTGTAATACTTTTGTAACTTCTAGGTGAGTCTAAAATTATTTCACAGTAAAATTATTTAAAAATTATGATGCCTTACCATCTGAATTTTCATTAACTTCTAAACTATAACTTGAAATGTGTCTGCCACCATTATCTTTGGGTGATTCTGAAAAGATAAATAAAATTAAAATGATTTCTGAATGAAGTTTATCACTGGAATTTCATAAATTATAATTTTTCACAGAAAGCTATAAACATGAAACAATATATTAACATATAGATATTAATAAAAATATAATGCAAGTTACATGCTTTGGATATTGGACATGAAGCATTTAAATAATAAAGTTATTTGGAAAAGACTGAAATGCTAAACATATAAAGGTGATTGTTGTAGTTTGGGGCAAAATTTGCATAAAAATAATTTCTTCTCAGGCTGATATTTATATTGAGTGGCCTTCCAATTATGGGACTTTATATTAGATATAATTTACTTGGAATAAGGATAATATTTAAGGACCCATATTAAAGTTTTAAACTTGTTCATGTGACATTATTGAGCTAGCAATGAAAAATCCAACAGAGATTGGAAAAATAATATGTTTACAACTAAGCTAATTTTTATGGCAGGATATTTCACATACACATGTTTAAAAAATATTTTTAAAGCTTGGGTAATCAGAGAAAGATTTCTTCTCAATAGTCAATGTTAGTATGGAGAAGCAAGATTTAAATATGAAAACATTTTACCCCATCCAATTTTGACTCTGTGTGCATGGATCTTTCCCTTTATGTATGGTTTTCTAGGAGATCCAGGCTTATCTGGATAGGTAGTATATTTTACTTCTCCACTGGGGTGGCTTCTTCCTTCCATATTGTAGGCAAAAATCTGTTTGAGTAAAAAGAGGAGAACATTTATTTATTTTTTTTCCATTGAAAATTAAATGTCTTGTTTGATAATGTGTAGTTTGCAAATATAAAAAAAGTTATTATAGAGCTAGGGGTGTGCCTCAGGTGGCAGAGTGCCTGTTAGCAAGTGTGAGGCCCTGAGTTAAATTCACCCAATAATTGCCAAAATTAACAACAAAAGCAAGATATTTAAGTGAGAACTTCTGAGAAATGCAAAATAGGGCTTAATTTAAAGAAAACGACACTCATTTTTCTCCAGAAAAGATAGTATTTTTCAATTTTAGGTTTAAATATACACGAATTTTAAGTTATAGCCACATACCCTAAACTTGTATGTAGTACTTCTCTGAAGATTTCGTACAGTACATGAGAGGTCTTCTCCATTGTATTTCGGTTTAAAACCTAATCCCTGGAAACAAAAGACAATAAATTTAGGGATCAGTCAGGCCTTGGGTTGAAGTTGTAGCTTCAACTTATTTTCTACCTGGATGGTCCTGAGCAAGTGATTTAGTCTTTCTGAACCTCAATATCTTCATGTTAAAACATGGAGATAATTTCCCACTGTGAAGGGCTCCCTTTTTTCAGTAATTGAGATAATACAATTGGAAGTACTTAGCATATTAATTACAACAATAGAACACTTTTCAATGTTAGCTGCATTACTTAAACTTGTAGGATATATTATTGTGTGTGAAACAATTTGCAGTATTCCTTTTTAAATTGACTTGCCTTTTAAAAGAATTGGAAGTTCAGAATGGATGAAGTAGCTGCCCACCCACATCAGGAATCCAAGATGAGGAAAGAGTGTGTATCTTGTAGAGTTATGTTAAGGTGCTAAAGATCCACTGACCACCCAAAAAAAAAAAAAAAATAGATTCATTCTCTACGAAACAGGTAAAAGCTGAGGGGACCCATTAACACAACTTTCTTCTGAGTTCTCTGTGCTGTAGTTTCGGCTGCTGCTCTTTTAGCTAAATTTGTGGACTAGGGTGACTAGCAGTCTATGCCATTTGACCTCACCCAGGAACAATAAAGAATTCAGAGAATTTCAGCATTTTACTAGTTCAATAAATTAAGTTAGATAACGTAAGCTGATCAAATTTTTTTTCAAAGTGAGGAAAGGCACATAAAATGTACCTTAAAAACTGAAGATGAAGATTACAGTATACGAAAAGAAACTTACAGTCCTTGCTTTCTCCATTCTAGTCACATAAGTAAAGACTGTATTTGGGGTTTGTGTTGGTGACAACACACACCAATTCTAGTGATAAACTTACAGATTCCTGCCTTCCTTTAGTTTTAGGAGGTTGAAGGTTGTATGGAGGCATAGTTCCTGATGTCTTATAGAAGACTGCCTATTCACTGAAATGACTGAAAAAAAATGGATTAGGATGGAAAAAAATTCAGTCTTTCAGGTTTCTTATGAAGAATAACTTTTAAATACTGCAAATAATTTCCATGTACCTGCAGCCAACAGTTATTTTTGGCAGCTAATCTGAATTTGAGTCATTTTGTAGATTGATTCAGGTTTAAGGATTTTGTCGTTTCATGGTACCTGTATAACAACTTTTGAAGTTGCACCTTTTACCCTTAATAACATATACAAAGTTAGAATATTATAAAATGGTTTATGGTAACAACACAAATCATACACTAATAATCATTCACAACCAAGTGCTTTAAAAAAATAAACTGTATACCTCATCCCATTCCAAAACGAAGCTGTTTATTTTGGAACCATTATAATTGGAACCCTAAAAATATCAGAAAGATAAAATTAAGATGGGCTATTTTTACTATGGCATACAAATATTTACATGCTATGTAGATTGTGTACATATGTACAATGTATATAAATTTAAAGTGATATAAATTATTCTAAAATTAATCTGCTGATAATTTGTTTTAAAAATAATCCAGATTTTAAAGTTAAATGTACTTTACTCAGTTTATAACAAATATCCAGATTCTATGCTTTGTTGTACTTTTCAAACTGTATGCAATGAAGAAAACAAATACTTAAGTAAATCAAGAGGTAGATTTTATTGGTAATCATGGTTATAAATAACTAACAGGTTGTAGAAATTGAGAATTCTGTTTTTGTTAATTATTGAAATTATTATTGACATATCTCAACTTATTGAACACTTGATCTAGACAGAAAGAAGAGAAAGATTACTGTGAAGAAAAAATGCCAGGGAAATAGATCAGATGAAGCAGGCATAATTCCATATTTAAAATTCAGGTTATAGTAGAATGAGTATTTTGAAATTGTGTTGAGGTGCTTTTGCCAGTAAAATCCTTACTTTCCACTGTAAATTCAGGCTATTCTTCGATCGGTTAATCAGTTTGGGTGCAAGTGGAGGGTCTGGTTCACAGCCTGGTGTTGTGAAGTTAACCACTTCAGACACAGTTTTGTGTTCTGAGCCTCTTATAGTTGTGACTCTAAAAATGTAATGAGGATAATATCTGTAAGCTGTTAAAATTAAATCACAAACTTGAGTTTCCAGACAATTTTCCTAAGAGTTAATCAAAAAACATTTGCTGATAGAACAAAGTTGGGTCCTTGAAGATGTCTACCAAAGCACCCTCTTATCTGTTCTAAATGAAAAAAGCGAACTAATGCTGGATTTGGAGGGTTTTCTTGAAGCTTGAAGGAAAGGTCAGTTTGGGGGCAAATAGCTAGGCTGACTGTAGGACTTTTAAAGTAGTGAACTGAGGGAGTTTTGGCCCACAACATGCTGGGGGTAGGTTATGCAGGATGGAGTTCTTACCTTATAAAATAGCCCATGGATGGTTGCAGATCATGTAGAGTAAATGTAACTTCATTACCACTGTGAAGATAACCTTTGTTTGTAATGGATCTATGCATATTTAAAAGATAAGTAAGCAGTCCCATCTTATATATTCAATTGATAAAGAAGCATGATTTTCCTTGAAATTTGATAACTTTAACCCATTTTTATGTGATATTAATAATTCAAAATACCTCATTTGCATGTCAAATTAACATAGCTTTCAGAAATAAAATTTTATCATTTTACTGCTGCATACTCTTTACACTGTAATAGCATGGATTTGCTTTTAATTGGCTTATTTTAAATAGTGTAGATATGAAAAGTCTCAAAGACACCATGTGTCATGAAATGTATTTATTCTGTCACAATGCAACTTTTCTGGGGTTGGATCCTGTCTAATTCTATTGAATTAGAATAATTATATTCTTATACTTAAGTCTTTCTGAGCAAACAGTCACAAATACCCAGATGTACTTCACCACCTTAAGGAACTCCTTCAGGCTCTAGATTCTAAAATACCCTCCAAAGAAGCTAAATAATTGAGACTTTTAAGCAAAGGCCACTCAGAGTGATCAGAGGTGCAGGCAAGTATTTTCTTTTCTTTCTTTCTTTTTTTTTTTGCAGTTCTGGGAGGCATGTTTATAAAACAAAACTAATAATTTTGTAAAGTACTTAATACTGGAAAAAGAAAACCATGGTAATGCATGCAGTTTTCACCACATTTTACACTTTCCCATCCCCTCAACCAATATATAAGATTGTGTACTGTGATTCTTAAATTTAAACATTTTAGCTGCTCATTATAAAAGAAATCAAACTTTACACAAGGTCAAGTTTTCACTTTGAGTCTCTGAATAAAGATGAAAAATTCTGGAAAATAAAGTTTAAGATATGTTTTTCAAAGTATTGTATAGGCAGCTCTATGATCTCTGACTTATTGTCTAGTTGTTTGGTACTCATAGGAATTTCTCTTCCTTACCCACTTGGGATTTTCTTCCTACTGTACCTCTCTTAGCTTACTCTTTTTCAGACTGCATATCTCCATCTGGTCCAGAAGTAGTTGGGCGGGGGACTGGGTATGCTTCTGTTATGTCCTGTACTGCATCCTCCTGAGCTCATCCTGCTACTTTAGCCTTTACCTTATAACTACCTCCTGTAATCAAATATTCATGAGAGTCCAAGTCTTAAATCTCCATTGTAATATAAAGATCTTGCTTGTGTACCCACAAAAATTTCCCCCAAATGACCTAAGGGCAAAATGAGAAGGAAGAAGTGCAGGGTTTTATTTTTCCTTGTCTAATAAGAAGTCTGCAAACTGAAGCGAACAGACCAGTTGATATAGAAGATGCACCTTCAGCTCTAACATACTTATGATCCAGTGAATTTTGTGGACTGATGTGGTAACCTACCACTACTTAGAAAACTATTTCTGTAGAAAAATACATTCAATACTTAGAAAAAATTTCTGAGAAACCTTTAGAATTTAGCCTAGATATAAGTTGAGATCTATATGCTTAGATAGCATTATCTAAATTAGATAGAAATCAGATAGAATTGAAGTATGAGAAATGATTAAAAAGACTTACATATAAATGTTTTTAAATTTTCCATTTTTACCACTGTTAGATATTGCCAATTCAAATGTTACAGGAGCTTTAGTATGATCACATTTCTCAGAACCATGCAGATTCCATGAAATAACAGCAGATCTTGTTTGAATATCAGAAACCTAAAATAATAAAAATCCAAACAGCATACTTAAAAATTATAACCTATGATTTATAATATAGTCTTTCCTTAAGTCTTATTTGATGTTAAGTATATTGTTCTTCCCATATTAGGTACTTAAATATTGTGATTGAACAATGAGCTATTAATTCTATATTTAACAATGCCACACTTACTAGATTGCTAAAGGAGATTATGAAATTTTAAGCAGGTAAAAATACCAGTGATTATGCAGGTTTTAGACTCAGAAAATAAATTAAAAGAAATACTTAAATATTCATCTCAGTTACTTACAACAGGTTTCTCAATATTGAAACAGCATGATTTTCTGTGTTCTGTTTTGTATTCTAAAAGTAAAAAAAGACCCAAAATGAAATATTACATTGGCAAAATGAAAACGATTAGATTTCTATTATCCCACTATAAATATATTGTTGTCAAGAGAACACCTAATAACAATTCACATTAAAAGATTTAAAAGAACCAGTTCAAAGTGTATGATATTAATATTAAATGAATTCTAGCAAAAGATGAGGAAAAGTCCTCAATTTAAATAAAATCATATGAACTGGTTAGGATTATAATTTGCAGTGTTTCACTGGCAGGCAAATAGAAAAATTGTGGGGCATACCCATTTTGCATGAGAATAATTATTTCTTCATGTTTTTGTTTGTTTTAGCAGTTCTGGGAACCAAACCCAGGGCCTTGTGCATAGTAGGCAAGAACTCTAACACTAAGCTACATTCCTTATTCTCTTCATGATTTTAAAAGGCAAGATAATGGCTGGTGGAGTGGTTCAGTGGAAAAGCACCTGCTTTCCAAGCATGAGGCCCTAGGTTCAAGCCACAGTGCTGCCAAAAAGTGTGTGTGGGGGGAACAGGAAAATTGTGCTTTTGCATACTACTCAGCCTTAAAAAAGGGGTATATCCTGTTATTTGCTGTAACACAGATGAACCAGGAGGACATTACACTAAGTGAAATAAGTCAAGCACAGGAAGACAAATACTTAATGATCTCATTTATATGTGGAATCTAATACAGTTGAACTTATAGGAGTAGAAAATGGAATGATGGTTACTGGGGATGGAGGTGAGGTGGGGAGAAGAGAATGAGGACTTGTTGATCAAAGGATATAAAGTTTCAGATAGGATGGATAGGTTTTGAGAAATATTGCACACACCAAGGTGACTACAGATAATAATAATATATTGTATATTCAAAATAAGAGTAAATTTAAATTATCTCACCATAAAAACTGATAGGTGAAGTGACTGACACGTCAATTATCTTGATTTAATAATTCCATGTCATATTCGTATATCAAAAAATCACTGTGTACCCCATAAACGTATACAATTATTGTCAATCAGAAATAATATTAATAAAAAATTTAAAATAAATTAGAGAAATAATTTAGGAGTAGGATTACAAAGAAGACAAGATGAAATGGAAGCAGAAAATAAAACTTAAATATTTAAAATGTACCAAGATTCCTCAACATTAGGATGTGGATATTCATTGGCAAAAAAACCAAACTCCTGGTTTTACCTTTTCGTGCTGCATTTGATAATTGGCTCTTGCTTTGTTTTCCACCTGATTTTTGCTTGCCCTCTCCGCCTCCTTTAGCATTCTGCTTCTTTCTATGATTGCTCTCAACCTGAGCCTTGGCAGCATTGGATGTGCTGGGAGTACGGGAAGTACTGAGAGAATTATCAATGGCAGATGAGCTGGGAACATTTTTAGAGATGGAAGTGTCAGGCACTCTGTCAGAAATAGAACAGCTTGGAGTAGCACTTATGTCAGAGGTGGCAGTCTTGGGAACATAATTAGTGCTGGAAGAGCCTGGAACACCATTAGTGGTGTCAGGGCAAAAAGAAGTGTGTGAGATGGAAGTGCTAGAGGCGTGGTCAGTAGAAGAAGTGCTGGGAGTTTTGTCAGTGATGTAAGTGTTTGGAGTATTGTCAACAGCATTGGTACTAAGAGAATTTTCGGCAGGGCAAATGCTCAAAGTGTTATTCACAGTGGATGTGCTCAATGTATTGTCAGCAGTGTCCTTGGGTGGAGCATTGTCCACAGTGTAAGTACTTGGAGAAGGAGAAGTACTTGACAACTCATTAGCTTTGTTCACAAGCATAGAGCTATTCTTGTGTCCACCAACTTGGCGTTCTGTCATTTTTTTCTTCATACATTCTCCTATCTTCACAGCCCTTTCTTCAAATTGGTTATAATTTGCTTTTCCAGGAGAATATGTTTCTAAAAGAGACAATGGAATGATGTTTAATAATTATAAAATTATGTACCTCAAGTTCTTTTTTACTTCACCGACCAAGTAGCATTGATAACTCATGCTTTACTTTTAAAATGTTTTCTTACTTTGCTTTAATACAGATATTAGATTTAAGAAAAGTATGTATTACCGTGATGCTCTTGGTACATAAATGTTGCTGCTGGTGGTGGTGGCGGTGGCAGCAGTTGCTGTTGAACAGGTTCTTGGATGTAAGGCAGTGGAAATTCCCCTTGAGCTCGGGGATACATCAGTTGAGGGGCTTGTGAATACATAATAGTGGATGGTGTTATGAAGTGTGGTGCTTGTATAGGAGCAGGCACAGGTGTGTGATAGTCAATTGTCTGAGGCACAATGATGATTTTGCGAATTCCATTTTCTTCCACTACCTAGGACAGAAGACAGAATCATATCTATATCTATATCTATATCTATATCTGTATCTATATCTATAATATCTATCAAGGTTTTTTCTGCTAAACTTTGGATTTACATCCTATGCTGCTTATTTAGAAACCTAAAGCATCAAAAATCAATAATAAAGTAAAACTAACCAAGCAGAAGGCATATAGGTAGCTTTTAGAGTTAATTCTGATAGTTGAAAAGCTTAAAGTGTAAGAAAGTATACAATTAAAAGTCTCCCTCCTAACCCTTATCCACTTAATGCCCCCAATAGCCAGCTACTGTTAGTATCTTAAAAATCCTTTCACATTTTCTTTATTTCTATATAAGCAAACAAGAATGCAGATTACTTTTCCTTCTGTTCATTACATAAAAGGTAGCATTATTTACACTAGTCTGTGCTTTTTTTTTGGTACAACATATCTTGAACCGTCTTCTATATCAGTACATAGTTTCTTATATTATAAGGATGTATCATACAGTTGCTTACTGACAGGCATGTAGATTATTTCCAATCTTTTGTAATTACAAACAGTATTGTAAGGAATGACATTATACATATATCATTCCAAATTTGTAAATAAAAATTCATTAAAGTGAAATTGCTAAATTAAGGAATGTATATACTTGTATTTTCACTAGATATTGACCAATATGTAATTTTATTTGGAATTAAACTATTATATTGACTTATTTAACATGTTCTTTGTCTTCACAGCTGGGCAGTAGACACATTGCATAAGCCACAAAGGCAAAATCTATGACAGAGCATAAAAAAACATACTTCAGTTATTAAATTTCCAGGGCTATGGAACATCTTATCAATCTCTATAGGAGTCATACCTCCCTGCCTACTTTAGATGGTTAATAAGTATTTGAGGAATTTTTAAAAAAGAACCCTTAGTAGTTTGAGAATGAAATACTGAACTGAAATTACTAAGTGATTTTAATGACTGAAGGATAAATATTATCAGAACCATTACTATAGCAATTGTAATAGGTAATTAAGATGGATTAACATACTCAGAAACAAAAAAAAATAGAAGGTTACTGAATATGAAGTGATCTGAATTCATTAGACAAATTAGTCATCATTTGCAAGGCAACCTAAGGTGGGTTTGTTTAAAAAAAAATCAACCACTTTAAACAATTACTTTATTCTTGTTTTTTGGTGGTTTACTGGCATTTGAACTCAGGGCCTCACCCTTGCTAAGCAGGCACTCTACCACTTAAGCCATTCCACCAGCCTAAACAATTACTTTTAAAGGTTTGGTTAAAAGCAGTTGCTTTTTAGCAATGATGATAACAAAGCTTGGAGATACAGCTCAGCGGTAGAGAGAGCCCTTGGCCTAGCATACATAAGGCTCCATCTCCAGCAGAGCAAGAAAACAATTATTAAAACAGTAAAATGAAAGAATAGTGTTCCAGAGTTCTCTTACCATACAGTGACATAGTGAAAAATGTTAAATGATAATTTATAGCTAAACACCAAATAAAAACCACACTAGCATACCTGAGATATGTAACCAGGAGGAAGATATATTGGTGGCAAAGTACCACTTGGTGACATCAGAGGTACATCAGCAGGTCCTAAGAGAATTATTAATAATAAATAGTGTAATAACTTTAAACAAAGTCCATTACAGAGACAGCTAACTTCTCATGGTTAAAATCACCATTGAGCTTTAACAATAGCCAGCCATTTTAAAGTGTGTTGTTTACTCACAAAAGCGACTCTGTCAGAGTACATATGAATCACTGAAAATTCATCATGACTAATGGAAAACAATCAAGTTACATAGTGGGTGTTGGGTAAAATTTACATTATAAAACAAAGTTGACAAGTTTATTGCTAATGAACTATTAGTCTTCTGGTAGTTCTTTCTCACTTACCACAGTTATATTTTGGTCTCACTCTGTACCATAAAATATATTTCTTATACTGATATCATATAGTAAAACTTAAATCAATTTTCATTTTAAGGGTTCCCACAGTAACACTAAAGTGAGATAGTTTTTAGGAAACTATATTATAAAGAAGGACTCAGTACTTACTACTCATGTGATGCTCTACTTTTATACTAGGCATTCTTACTGTCTTAAATATATACTTGTAAAGCAACTAAAATACAGTACAGAATAGACTTTTATATGTCATCATTCTTTTGTTTACCTGAAATTTTTATAATTAGTACTTAGTTCTAAAGATATGTTTGGCTTTGAAGTCCTCAAATGGCAATTTATTTTATTTTTTTTCCTGAGAGCCACTTATTCATTTCCTAAGATTAGGTACAATAGCGACTGCATTTTCAAAATTATCAGAGCCATACAGATATTGGAGTTTAAGGATGAGATCCAATTTGATAGGAATCTGTTAAACTATAAACCAGTCTAATGACACAAATTTTCAGGCAATTTATTTTTAATAATGAGAAGTTAATAAATATGAGTTTGTGATAAATTATACACAGAAACCATATAAAATTTGTTGCTAGATGATAATATTTTTAGAAATTCTTAAGACAGTTCAAAATCACTTTAGGATACAAAATAATTGGTATAAGAACAAAATAATCATCTCAATTTGAAATAGTTAATAATAAATTTATAGCTTTATATTTATAGCTTATTAGCTTTATTACTTATTTTAAGTTGAGGTGATTAATTTTATACAAGAAAATTTATTATCTATAATTGTATATGTGGAATTAAATATATTTATGTAAAATACTGATTTATATATTATTTTATATATATCCCTTTCCTATACATTATTATATAGAAAGTGTTTAAGTGTCTAGTACAGTGCTGCTACATGCTAGAAATATTTGAATATATGAATGGATAAATGAACTGTCTGAAGGCTTCATCTGAAGGAGAATAGCTTAAAAATATAATCAGTTAAACAAACACTGAATGTTCATATGTATATAATTGACACATATTTATATTACATATACCTAGTTTTAGTACTCTGACTACACACATATGTGGTTATATGAAATGTTAGCTTTTAACAGACTTTTTTTTAAATTAAAAGTGTATGTATAGGTTTTGAAATTTTTTAAAAGGGAGAAAATACTGTTAGGAAGAGATTATTATTTTTTTTTCTCGTTTATTCATATGTGCACACATTGTTTGGGCCATTTCTCCCCCCTACTCCTGCTCCCTCCCTCTCCTCCCCACCCCCCTTCATTTTCAGGCAGAATCTGTTCTGCTCTTATCTCTAATTTTGTTGAAGAGAGAGTATAAACAATAATAGGAAAGACAAAGCATTTTTGCTAGTTGAGATAAGGATAGTTATACAGAGAGATGCGTAGAATTGCTTCCATGTACACATGTGTTACATCCCAAGTTGATTCATCTCTAACTGACTTTTTCTCTAGTTCCTGATCCCCTTTTCATATTGACCTCTGTTGCTTTAAAGTTTCTGTATTATGTGAATATTTTTTGCCTCATTCTGTTTATCAGTTTTAACAATCTGTATAAATGCATTTTAGAACTGGTAGATAGTGCGCTTGAATTTATTTTTGATAGGCATGTATATTAAAATGTACATTAAAACATTATTTAAATTTGCAAAAACACTTCTATATGCTAGATATTGTATGTAAAACTCTATTAAAAATACACCACATATCCTTAAGTTTCAGGTTGCCTTTTATGGACTTATATTTTGATGTAGACATTATAAGAATGTGCAATATAGTCAAAATTTTTTACTGCGTTTTGAGATTCTCCAACTTAACAACTGTGCCAAAGATCTCAACAGACATAAAAGATTGTCCTGTGTATTTACTAGTGATACATCAACTTTTTCAAAGCTTTAGCACAGGTCATACGGTGGGGTAGTTGCTTTAATTTCCATATTAAAGTAAAACAAATAGTGCCTTTAAAAAATAAAATGTAAATGGCAATCAATATCTCCTGTCAAGACTTCTTCAAATGGAATTTGTAGTTAGAAAAGCAAGATGAATCCTAGTTGGTCTGTTGAGCTCCTATAAGGATTATATTAATTTAAGAATATTAAGTCTAGCTCAAAACCAAAAGCTATTAGTGGGTTTTAGTAATTTCACACTAATATTTAAATTCATTCATTTTAACATACAATAACACAAGTTTAATTATACTTAGACTTACCTTGAATATTCTGAATGGTCCCATCATCAGACTTTATGGTAAGGGTTTCCCCAGGGTTAACTTGTACCAATATAATCTAGAAATAAATAATTCTTCAATGATATATTTTTCTGTTAGTTAATCTATGAAAAAATCATAATTTTCCTTTTGAATAATATTTAGACCCACTAGTTCCATGTATCTCAGAATGCTCAAGGAGAAGAGTACAAGTGGATCAATGAACACTTAGGGAAAATTAGGAAGAATAGTTCCTCCCCTGACTAAGTAAAACTTACCATAGTCATAGAAAATAGGTGCACTGAAATGGAAAGACCAACTTCCCTTCTATCTCCCTCCCCCAAATAAAATTCCTTAAAACAAAAAACAAAATAAAATTCTTATCTGAAGATAAAGCTCAGACATACTTGTACCCAGTACTGAGGACAAGAAGGCCATTTGGTGTATCTCTTGGGATGAGTCATACTTTGTGGATAATTAGTAGTATGCTGTGTTGCAACAGTGTTGTCCAGATGATAATTTTCCATCTAGTAAAACAGTAGCAATTTTAATTTCTAAGAGCTTTTTTTATCTCAATCATTTTTTGGGGAAAATTATCAATTAACTTTTTATTAGCAAATATCAATTGTACAAAATGATGAGCTTCATTGTGACATTTTCATACATGAATATATTTTGGTTTTGCTAAGCTAAAAGACAATCTTTGCTTTTTTTCTGAAATTCAAGAGAAGCTAGTGATCTTTTTTTACATGAAATATAGGACTTCCCTTGAATAGATTAAAGAAGTAGTAAATGCTAAATCTGAACTTCACTTTCTCTTTCTAGAAACCAATCTTATACATATAAGCAATTGCTACTCAAAACAAAATACTATTAAATATTAGAAAGTCATAGCTGTGAATGAGTATGAAGGAACTTTAGTTTGCATTAGTCATATTTTTAAAAAATACATTGGAAGAAACTTTAAATATAGACTTTCAGATATAATACTAGGACTTTCAAGCTGTTCAAGGGAGGACAAAAAATAAACTCAAAAGGAAATTATATGTAGACTAAGCTAGTGTTCAGTGTCTTAAGTGATTTTAAAAGGCTACAAGGACTATAAACCTATGTTGATGAAAAGGCTAAAAACTTCCAAAATAAGTGATGAGTTGTATAAGTGACACATTTTCTAAATAAAAGCAAATACTAGATTTAAGAGCATTTTAATCACTTATAATGAAAAAAAGATATAAAACTACTCTTACCTGATGCATGGGATCCCCACTGATAATTGGAGCTATAGGAGGTATTTCAGTAAGAGTAGGTACAAGCTGATGTTCCATCACATCTAAAAAAGATTGGCTTTCACAGTAAGTTTTGTTTCTAAAAAGAAAATGAAAGTTTACAGATTAAGTGAAGTCACAGTCATGGTTTTAAATGATATAACCTGACAAAATACTTCTGAGAAAATCCATCTTAATTTTTTATTTTGAGTGAAATTGTTTTATGGCAACATTTCAAAATAATCATTGATCATCACTGATGACAGAGTATAAAGCTTGGAGCTAAGGGATTTTGCCTGATTGCTCTTCATTCATGGGATGACAAAGATAGCTCCATTTCACAGCATGAATAATGTTTTAGTTAAACAAATCATTGGTTATTCGATCTCCCCATACTGAGTTCAAACAATTGATTTACAATCTATGATGTTCATTACTTAATAAGACTTCATATTGCTTAGATAGCTGTAAGAATGAACTAAATACTTTTAAAAGTTACAAGATCATAGAAATTTACCTTAACTCTCGCAGATACTAAATCTCAGATACTAAATCTTAAACATAATCCAAATCTTTGAATCCAAACTTTTAAACTTAAACTACTTTCCAGGTTGAAATATTTCAAGCGTAGATATCACTGAATGACAAAATATATTGTAACTATCTAGTTCTCAATTCCATAAACACTTGGGCAAAAATCAGAAAGAAAAATATGATTATTTTGAAGGTTGAGAAATAGGATACTCAAGAGGGAACCTCTTTGGAACTAGACAAGTCCTCTAAATGAAGTGCACTGTTGGGGTTTCATAATTCCTCAATATAAAGTATATGAACTATATCATAATTCTAGCCACTACCTACATCATTTCCTCATGAAGTTTTTTAATGTAGTCCTAGGAAACTTTTTATTTGTGATACATGTTTTCGTAATGAAAGACATGATTTTTTGAAAAGAAAACTGTTTTGGAGTCATAAAGAAATATGGAGTATTATCTAGCAGGAAAACATACATGTTTTCATAGGTTAGGGAAATAGGAAATAGTTACCAACTAAATGTTTAAAAATATCTACTCAACAGTGACAAGCACTTATGTTAATTTAAATCTGTCTTTTGTCACAAAAGTACTGGTTTCATTCAGGGCAAAACTCATTGCTTCCTAGTTCATTCTAGTGGCTGGATTGGTCAAGATTTAAACTATAACCTAAATGATATTTAAAAATGCTGCCTGGCTATCAACTCCAAAATCTCTCTTTCTGTCTCACTCAGCTTCTGTCTCTCTCTATATATCCTTTCCCACCCCTTAATGTGTTCGTTTTCATCAAAACTTCCAATCTTTACTGCACATAATGTTAAATTCATAGGGTTAATACTTCATCTCGTCATCTATTCTGTAGTTGTGGACCAGTTTAGGTCTAGAATTAGTTTCATTCTTAGGTGACATCCATATGCCAATAGGCAACCTGAGGGAGATAACTACCCTTCAGTACAAATTCGCAAGGAGGTTTTATTTGTTCTGAAACTAAAGTTAATTGGTATTAGATTCCCTAAAACATAAACATAAAAAATTCCTATACCTTAACCAGTCACAACTATATAGGATTAAGTACCCCTTTTATTTATTTTAATTTTTATTAGTATATGATAGTTGTACAGGAGGATACATTGTGATATATACATATGTGCTCAGAATATGTCTTAGATTTACCCCCTCCATCATTCTCTCTCATCCTCATCCCACTTTCTTAGAACAATTTCAACAGGTTTCATTCTTCTATTTTCATATATGTATACAAAATACATCTACCATATTCACCCTCTTTCACACTTTCCTTATGCCCACCCTACTCCCACTGATACTCACCCCCAGAAAAGACCTATTTTACCCTCATCTTTCATTTTTAAAAAGTGTATATTGATGGTTCAAGGGAGTTTCACCTAGGTACTTCAGGCCTGTATATATTAAGTACTGTTTTTAGATTATTATTTTAGTTTTATAGGTTAAATTATATATAAGGAATGAAATTTCCTTTTAGCACATGGAAGATTTTTTGTGTTTTCTCCTTAGTTTTGGTCATTAATGTGATCATTTAACGATTAACTGCTAAACTAATGTTTAGATATTCAATTTCTTAAAGATACTATGAATAATTAATTATATAAGAACCTCCAAAACTTAAAATTAAGAATGGCATCAGAATTATTTTCATGAGAATATGTTTATTCTCTTTAGTATACACACTAAAAAGTTAAAGTTTAGAAGCTATAGAATTGAACTTTTATAGTTATATCAACATTACTACAGGCAAAGGTGGAATAAAGGCAATATAATGTAATTTTCTTATCTAGAACCTAATTTAACATCTGCTTTAAAAACAGCTTTCATCCATTATACAAGAGTGAGATAAATAACTACATAATGAAGGGCAGTCTGACAAAGACTTGGTTGCCAAGGATTTTTCTTTCAAGTGTAGAGAATTTCTAGGGTTGCCTCTCTTCTAACATAATCTATTTTCCACCTCATTAGGTAGGTCAATTAACTACTCTATAAGGTGAAGTACCTTTTTCAATGCAGCCTTAATACTTTTGCTTTTCAGGCTCTTTAAATCTCCTGAAAAAATCCCATAGAAGCTTCCATTTTGCTGTTCTATTCTCCTCACAAATTTACCATTGTTCTCCTGCTACTTTGTACTGTAGTTGGGCTATAAAAGTACTGCTCTGATAAGAAACAGCTCTAAAGAAAGAAAATGCCACATTAGAAAAAGTACAAAATGTTGACTAGCATTTCTGCAATTGAAACTGAAATCCCCTAAAATTCATCTTAATAAATTCTCTGCATAGGAGCAAAAATAATTAACTCTAGCTGAAACAAGGAATTATAGAACACAAAATTAATATAAGGTTTTTTTAGAAGCAGAAAAAGCTTTATAAATTGGTGTGGAAAATGTTAAAATAGATATACTTAGGCTTCCTAGTAGTCATTTAAAAGTCTAATTCTAAAATTACAAATAACTGTTACTAAAACTGGAATTATTTAAAAAAAAACCTTCTAGAATAAACTCTTGCTAAAGAATTGCAGTTTATATTTAACTTTTAGCTTGATATACAGCATATTCCACATTCTCTTGACATCAACATTAATTATTTAAGATAGTGATAAGGCAAACTGAATATTGGTGAAAGAAAACATGTGATCCTAATATTTTATTATTTTAGTTTTATCTCAGAGAAGGTAAATTGTAGAGTTTTATAGCCGCAAGTCTGATAGTCAAAAGACCTGAGGTCAAATTCTTGTTTTGCCCCTTATTAGGCAAAACAAAGAGTTTTGTTTGTATTCTACATTGCTAAGTAGATAGCAGGCACTTAAGAAACCCCAAACAAAGCCAGGCTCAGTGGCTCATGCCTGTAATTTCAGCTACTTGTAAGGCAGAGATCAGGAGAATAGCAGTTTGAGGCCAGGCTGGGCAAAAAGTTAGATCCCATATCAATAAACAAGCTAGACATTGTGGTGCATGCCTGTGATCCCAGTTATATAGGAGACATGGGTAGGAGGATCTTGGTCTCAGGTCAGCCTAGGCAAAAATGTGAGACCCTGTTGAAAACAAAATAACTAAAAAGAAAAAAATGCTGAATAAATGATGAACATGAAGATATACTATTTTAGTAAGCAATCATTTGTAAATATTCCTATTTACAAAGTGCTCAAAATGAAATACTCAATTTTCAAGGAAAGCAGAACATATTAAATAATATATTCAATGTCTAAAGGAACTATTGTCTTGAAGATCACAGATTTCTCATAGATGCCTAAGATGAATCATGCAAATGCTTCAAAGTTAAAAATAAAAAATTGGGGGCTTGGGATGTAGCTCAGTTGTAGAGCACTTGCCTAGCATTTACAAGACCATGGGTTCAATCCCCAGCATAATAAAAAAAGAAAAGAAAAGAAAAATTCCCACTTTAGATACAAAATTAGGCCTATAGAAATCATGCAGGGCAAGCATACAAGGATTTATAAGTAGCCAATATCAGGGAAATCTATTTTATTTAAACCAAAAAAGTAAAATTGTCTACTATTATCTATTGAAAGTGCATTCCAACTGAAATTTCTCATAAATACAATGATTGGATCAAGATCCTGAGGGATACATCCTTGGGGATGATGCAAAATTACCAATACTTCTAGCTTTTCACTAAATAAGAGAGCACAAAGAGCTCAGTCAACATCAGATGACATAGTCAAAGCTTACCTCCAGGCTCCTTTCAGCTCAACCCAAGTCCCTGTTTTAAAAGACCAGTTTAATTCTAGGCTAAGGCTGGAATCTACACCCAGTAAAATTTCATCATCTTAAGAAATTTGCACGTATTTTTGATTGACACAATATTTGTACATATTTATGTAGTACAGTGTGAAGTTTTGATTTATATATACACTGGGTAGTCATCAAGTCAGGGTAATTAGCTTATCCATTACCTTAAACTTTTATCATTTCTTTACGGTGAGTACACTCATATTCCTTTCTCCTATTTTGAGATATATAACACAGTATTGCTGGTTATATTTACCCTATTATACACTGTCTTTTAACTCACAGAGATATGTGCTTATTTTTTCATAAATGACTTCATAGCGTATCGAAAGAGGTTTCATCAAAGAAATCAAATGATAAAAATAAAAGTAGCAACTAATAAAAATAAAATAACAGATAACATATATTGCACTTTTGCATATACTAGGCACCTTTCTAAGCATTATTAATGCATCAACTCATGTAATCCTTACAATTACCAATTAAGTATGCATTTTATTATGTTGTTATTATGTATTGATGCTATATATATTGATTATATTAGATGCTCAATAGCATCTAATATGTGGTTGGTTTGTGCTTGGTATTGTGTGAGATACAAGGAAATGTACAGTATCTTTCTTTTGCCATCTATCTGCCTATTCAGAAGTTTCAAAGGTAAGTTTTTCCTTTTTAAAAATTTGAATGTAATGTGTTTATTTTTATAGTTGCCTTAGCACAATTTGTAAAAGAACGGAGACCAAAAGTGTTTTTTGTCAGGATATTTTCTCTATGTTATAAGAA